GAGATTTAGCATGCAGGCGGTCATCAGTCATACTGAGCAGAGCAAAGACAGCTAATGTTCCGCCACAAGATGGAGACAGAGACCACATAATAAGTACTCAGGAGAGAAAAACTGCATTATTTCAGCATACATTTCAAAATACAGCTGAACGGATCATTACGGAACAGGTAAGTGACAAGTGAGTCGATCTTTCTCTTTTGTATTTTGTAGTGGTGTATTTACACCATAGTAATCTGGTAGTATTTGCTTTGCTTTGGCTTTTTTCTGGGTTGATTATTGTGATTCCCAATTACAACAGAGGAATACTAGGAAATCTCTGTAGACGGATGACATCTTATGCCGTTCAGTCTTATCATTTTAAATGTCAGCAAAATCACCTGTTTTGTCATCATTTTAGACATTACCCTAGAGAATCATTCAAAAAATAGCTCTAATCTGACGTTTGTGAAGTAGCAACGATTTCTGCAGTTCTGATGTCACCTGCAGATGTGAATTAATGGCAGAAGAAAATAGTTCCTCATACAAAAGGATTTTTAGACTCTCCGTTTTTTATTTGTCTTTTTATATACACGATTGTGCAGTCAAACTGCAATATCACACAAGTAGCAGTGAGATGTGGCTGTATATCATCACTGGTGGGACACTAAGGCACTCTTACTTTTGCACTGCTACTCGTGCGATATTGCTTGTATATACTGTGTGTATATATAATTATAAAAATGGATCTATCTATCTATCTATCTATCTATCTATCTATCTATCTATCTATCTATCTATCTATCTATCTATCTATCTATCTATCTATCTATCTATCTATCTCTCTTTCTATCTATCTATCTATCTATCTATCTATCTATCTATCTATCTATCTATCTATCTATCTATCTATCTATCTATCTATCTATCTATCTATCTCTCTTTCTATCTATCTATCTATCTATCTATCTATCTATCTATCTATCTATCTATCTATCTATCTATCTATCTCTCTTTCTATCTATCTATCTATCTATCTATCTATCTATCTATCTATCTATCTATCTATCTATCTATCTATCTATCTATCTATCTATCTATCTATCTATCTATCTATCTCTCTATCTATCTATCTATCTATCTATCTATCTATCTATCTATCTATCTATCTATCTATCTATCTATCTATCTATCTATCTATCTATCTATCTATCTATCTATCTATCTATCTATCTATCTCTCTTTCTATCTATCTATCTATCTATCTATCTATCTATCTATCTATCTATCTATCTATCTATCTATCTATCTATCTATCTATCTATCTATCTATCTATCTATCTATCTATCTATCTATCTCTCTTTCTATCTATCTATCTATCTATCTATCTATCTATCTATCTATCTATCTATCTATCTATCTATCTATCTATCTATCTATCTATCTATCTATCTATCTATCTATCTATCTCTCTATCTATCTATCTATCTATCTATCTATCTATCTATCTATCTATCTATCTATCTATCTATCTGTCTATCTATCTATCTATCTAGATAGATATATACGTAGGTAGATAGATCCATTTTTATAATTATATATACATACAGTATATACAAGCAATATCGCTTGTAAAAAATATAAATATTTTTATATTTAATATAAATATATATAAATATATAAATATAAATATTTAAAATCTATATAGATAGATAGATAGATAGATAGATAGATAGATAGATAGATAGATAGATAGATAGATAGATAGATAGATAGATAGATAGATAGATATGCATTTTTATATTACATTTCATACATAATGTAAACAAAAATATTTTACTGTATTTTATAAATAGCTTTATTATAGTGAAGTATTTTTACAATTACTTTTTGTAATCATTTTGTATTTAAGTAAATTATTTTGTGTCAATACCTGCATAAATAAACTCTTTCTGTATTTTTACTGTATGTATAATTGTATTAGTGAAATACAAATACAAGTAAAATTGGACATATATGTGTGTGTACCTTGTATTCCTCACGCTGTGTGGACCAAATGTCTCCAAAATTATATCGATATCAGTAAATTCTGACCTTGTGGGGACATTTTTTTGGTCCTCATAAAGAAAACGGATTATAAATCACGCAGAATTATGTATTTAGAAAGATTTGAGATACAGATTGTTTCCCGTACGGGTTGAGTTTAGGGCTTTGATTAGAACATACAGTCTGTACAATATAAAAAATCATCAGGTCTATGGGAAGTCCCCATAAAGATAGCTACAGTACATATGTGCGTATGTGTTTATGTTTGTGTCCACCAGATCCTTCACTGTAGGCCTAATATAAAAATGACACCGATCAAGATTACAAAAGCATTATTCAGGAAGTCTATCTCACTTGTTCTGTTTTGAATGCTCACTCAATACTCACTCCGCTACACAAATACAGCACTTAAAAACGTCCAGCCTCGTGTGTCAAACATGTACACAGTGCTGTTTATCCCCCACTCTAGGGCTGTTTAATGAGAAAAAGGCAAGTGTAATGGTGGAGTTTCAGACCCCTTCATTTGATTTCCATTGCATTAGGCCGGTCATTGGCGTCAGCAGGCTCTCTGTAAATACAATCACTGCTGCTCAGTGTCCACAATTGTGCTCGTACACGGACAAAGATTACACACCAATGTCCTACATTCTCGGACAATTTTATGATCCGTAATCATTATGCTGCATTGTAGAACAAATAAATCTATTACAGACGACTGCTAATTTATTAGGTTACTGTATAAACCCACATTCTTCTGGAAAATCCTATTGTGGAGCTACAAGAAGATGTTGTACAGAGAGTATACGGCTGTTTTTCATGTCTGTATGTGTGTGTTGGGTTTTCAACATCACTATTCAAGATCGTAAACATTTTGTGATAGCTTTGTTTTATTTAGTACATCTCATGAAATATGGACACATGCTTACAATCAGTACATAGAATATAATTCAATTTGGTCGTGTTGTGATAGGGCTGCACGATTCATTGAAATTAAATCGCGGAGTCGACACCTACAGTAGGCTGATAACTGAATGATTACTTTAATGATAAGTATTCCTGGATATAACATTCTGTTTAGAGCGACACTGTGGCTCAGTGGTTAGCACTGTCACCTCATAGCAAGAAGGTTCGAGTCCAGGCTGGGTCAGTTGGTGTTTCTGAGTGGAGTTTGCATGTTCTCCCGTGTTGGTGTGTGCTTCCTCCGGTTTTCCCCACAGTCCAAAGACATGCGCTATAGGTGAATTGAATAAACTAAATTGGCCGTAGTGTATGTGTGTATGGGCATTTCCCAGTACTGGGTTGCAGCTGGAAGCTATGTAAAACAAAAGCTGGATACGTAGGTGTTTCATTCCACTGATGAATAAAGGGACTACGCTGAAGAAAAATGAATGAATGAACATTCTGTTTATTAGAAAAGTGCACTGCAGTCTTGTCTGTCACTTTAGATGCTTGTCTGTCGCCTTAGAACTTAAGACCGCATGTTTTTTTTGTTGTTTTTTATCGGGTCGTTCTTTAAATAACTGTAATGTAGATTTTACTGTATTTTTATATTTAGAGCATTTTTAGATCTACGTGGCAATCATTATCATAAATGTTTTTCATTTTTGGTGTTAACTAGTGACGTTGCGTGTGTGTGTGTGGGGGGCAGGGGTGGGGGGCTTTGGGGGCTTAAGCCCCTGATGTATTGTCAAAAGCTCCTGATCTTTTGGAATATGCTGCACTTAAATAAAAATAGGTTGTATAACATTTATTTTACATTTAGGTTGTATAACATATTCTTATCCAAGTACTTAAAATTACCACATCCATCAGGCGGATTCCACTTAACGCAGCGTTTGACTAATTAGTCTGCTGTTCAGCAGTACCTGTTTCTACCAGCAGGTGGGAGTGGGACAGCTGTCATCATTCATTCATTATTTTGAGGAGCTGAAGCTGATGAGGTAATAATAATACAACTGTTTCGCGAAACTGAATAGTTCTAACAACTGATGAAGCTTAATATTTGTTTTCACAGTAAAAATGTGCGTAGTTTTGGTAAAATAAAATAACTATAATCAATAAAATGTGCGTCATATTAATGTAAATACATGCAAGTTATTCAGAAAAACGCAAACTGTACTAGCTTACTAGATAAAATATAGATATCAAGACAGATTTACCTAGATCTGATATAGCCAGTCACATCTGTTTCTGTGATAAATCACAGTGAGTTCATGCATTTAGCTTATTATTTTATAACTATACAGTAACATGCTATGTCAGTTAGTATCAGATTATAAATCAATTTATTCTTATGAAAATAACTAAAATGGCTGGAAGAACACAGTTAAAGCTACAACTACAGCAATAGCAGGATGCAGTCATCCAAGTATGAATGAAACAGGCATTACAAGCATTTAAAGTGCCACAATGCCCACATCACCCTATTTTGATCAAAACTGGGGGAAAAATCTATCTCTAAAGAAATTTAAAGAAACAGGTAATTTAACAGGGTGAATTTGACCCTAGCAACGCCCCTGGAGTAAACAGGCATTTAGTGCAATAAGCAAATCAAAAAGACTGAAACAGATTGCCATAAAAGCTGCACAATTCAGACTGAAATGTTCTTTAACGTGCAAGCAGCTCATAATCTGGGATTCTCACTGCATTTGGGATTTATTTTGAAAGACGTGTCAAATTACAGTGAATTATAGCACAAGCAATAATTGTTATATTTATAATATTAATTATATAATGATACTATTGATATTAAGTATTAATATTGATAATTTTATATATAAGTTGTTGTATGGCTCAGTGGTTAGCAATAGTTGAACTGAATGAACTAAATTGGCCGTAGTATATGAGTTTGACTGAGAGTGTATGGGTGTTTCCCAGTGATGGGTTGCAGCTGGAAGTGCATCCGCTGTGTAAAACATATGCTGGATAAGTTCATTCCGCTGTGGCGACCCCTGATAAATCAGAGAAAATGAATGAATGATTAATTCGTCATTTATACAATGTATATATTATTATTAATAAAGTATTAATCTTATTATCACTATTATTATCACTACTTTTTTGGTGAAGATGGCAGGCAAAATCATCGGTTTTAACCAAACTGGTCCAATGGTAATTTACCTTTATTATGTTTTAAAGAGAGCTCAGGGTCTCCTATGCACCCCGGATCACCCATTGTACTCTGTGTTTCAGCTGCTGCCATCAGGATGTCGTTTTCGACTTCCTATTAGCAGGACAAGCAGAACTAGAAATTCTTTTATAATGGTGGCCGTTAGATCATTAAAGTCCAGGGGGAGGGAGATGCACCTACAAACTGATGTATTGTATGTTGTACGTGTATGGTAACATTTTCTTAACGTGTACATGAAACTTCACCTGTGTTATGGCACCTTGCTGCAATTTTAGTTTAAACAGGATAATAAAGTTGAGTCTGAGTCACACAGAAGTGCCAACTGACCAAGCCGAGATTCGAACCAGCGATCTTCTTGCTGTGAGGTGAAGTGCTAATTACTGAATCACCCTTTTTTCATTCAATAAAAATCGATCTAATTGAAGTTTTCCAGGCAGCGCAGTGGGTATCGCTGTCCCCTTACTGCAAGAAGGTCGCTGGTTCGAGCTTCGGCTGGGTCAGTTGGCATTTCTGATTGGAGTTTGCATGTTCTCCCTGTGATTGCGTGAGTTTTCTCCGGTTTCTCTGGTTTCCCTCACAAGCCCAAAGTCGCTATAGGTGAATTGGGTCGGCTAAATTGCCTGTAGTGTATGTGTGTAAATGAGTGTGCATGGGTGTTTCCCAGTGATGGGTTGCAGCTGCGTTAACATATGCTGGATAAGTTGGTGGTTCATTCTGCTGTCGTTACCCCTGATAAATAAAGGGTCTAAGCTAAAAAGAAAATGAATGAATGAAGTTTTCCACAAATCATGCAGCCCTATGTTTTTAAAGCGCAACACGTGTTCTGGTAGATGTGTTGATGGTGCACGTTCTCAGTTTGGACATAATTCTAAAAACAAAATGCTACAGAAATATGACACTTCTTTACAACGTGCCACATGGTAAGCTCATTCATGGCACGGCCATAACAGATCAATCTGAATTCCACAGAATATTGATTTAATCCATTAGGCCACTCCCCCTTGGAACTGGAAGAATGTTCTTTTAATAAAGCTCCTCAGAAAAGCGTAGGCCTTCAAAACGCAAACAAGTTCTTTTTGAGGTCTGAAAATCTGGAAACACCATCACCACTGTTTGCTTGCAAAGACAAGAAGGAATTCCTGGAATCTGTGTAGTAAGGGTTCCCACAGGAGCCATGCGATCCTCTCATAGCTTTATCTTTCCTGACCCTGGATAATACGGTGTATGAAGTCACCCTGACTAACACAACAGCGCACACCACTGATTACTTCGCAAAGAATGAAACCAGCCACATTCGGGTCATTTCTGAGAAAAAACTCTTATTGTGAAAAAGAAGTCTGTGTCATGACACTTCAGCCAGACCAGATGAGTTGCTTGTTCTTACGGGCATCAGACATCGGTCTTGTACGTGAGTAAAGTCACTGCAGTCTTTTACAGTGGTGATTTCAACATGGTCCCTAATGGAGGAGACTTCCTCTCGGCTATGCGATGAAAAAATCGGTGTTGAATTGGCATTAAAGGAATGATCCAAAGATCCATTCAAACTGTATCCTAAATCTTGGAATTCTTCTTGTGGTTTGATTTTTGCCGGCAATTCCTTCGTAAAATTGTCACATGATATCATACCTGGAATAGGGTTGGCGGCATCCATCACGTAGCCATTGGACATTGTGCAAGAAGTCTCAATCACACTGACTGCAGCCGACGACGCTGTCATGCCTCCATTGCTGTTTCCAATGGCCAGCCTGCTTTCATGCCACAAGAAGTGTCGTCGGATGATCCTTCGGAAGGTTTGCCTGAAGTCACGTATTCGGTAGGCATAAATAAACGGGTTGACTACTGAATTAGCATGCGAAAGGATGATGGCCAGGTACATGACCCAATCCTGAGGTCGATCACATTGCGGGCAAAACAATGTGAAGCAGTTTATAATGTGCAGCGGCAGCCAGCAAACTGCGAAAAGACCTACGATGATGGCCAGGGATTTGGCAGCATGGACTTCCTTTTGCAGTGTGGAGCGGGATGAGGATCCCTCTTTGTGTGCGTGTCCCTGCAGGTGCGCTAGCTTTTGCTCCATCTGTCGGAGTTGGCGACGTGCGGCCGTGAAGATCCATGTGTAGATTGCCAGCATGGCAAACAGCGGGATCAAAATGCAGCCGAAAAAATTGAAGTAAACCATGTAGCCCATGGTGACCACTTTTTCGAATAGGCATTCTGTCATGCCTTGAGGACAGGAGCTGTTGGTGCCTGCATCGATGCTGGTGTTCCAGCCGAACATGGGGGTCAGTCCGATGACCACTGAAAGTATCCAGCATACTGCAATGATTCCTTTGGCTCTTCTTCCTGTGACGAGGCTGTTGTACCTTAGGAAGACAAAACAAAAACAGATATGAGACAGCTGCTTGGAAAGGAAGTATGCTGTGGAGTAATATGGTGATAAGGTTTGGTACTGTATTACAACTCTATCTGCCTCCAACAATTTGTTTATGTTTCCTGAAGTCCATCCTGAAGTGGGCAGTGCTGTTTGATGCATGAACAGTGCCAGGCCTGGAAAAGTGTGCAGCATTATTTTCCCCCAAATCCACACAAGCATGCACAGACTTGGGACTTGCTCATGGGAAATGTCCATTGTTTAGGTATTAAGCTTTGGTAATTGCAGCCAAGATGGAAAATATCAGGATATGCGCTAATAAGAAGCATATATTTCTTCTTGTGTCTTAAAATAATACTCACAGGCTTTGTTTTATTTGAATGTGAACCAAACCTTATTTTTCTAAATAAACCTTCCTGACATAATTAGAAAACAAAGAGAAGAATTAAATTGTTTAATTAAATTGAAGCTTTTCAATGGCTTTTCCCCTTCCATTTAGATGTGGCATACACTACTCCTAGAACTATTAAACAACAATAAAGATGACCAAAAATGTTCTGATATATTCATGCATTTATTTTTGTTAAAGACTTACTGAAAATGACAGATCTTCTTTAAGAGATATGAACAATAACTATTAATTTAAAGGTTTTTCAATCACATTATCACATTAAATTTAGCTGATTTAAATGTTAAGCAGCATGTGTTTGATTGTAATGTAAGATTTAAATTCTCTAAACAGAAGCAGCTCAGATGGGTCATTCATTCAGGAGCAGAATTGGGTGTAACACGTTCCACATAACGTGTTACTGTATTCTAATTACATTTCTGGGAATGCAGTAATGTAAGGAACTACATTTTAAATGTGTGTAATTTGATTACAGTTACTAAAGTCAATGTAATTGCTTTACTTGCGTTACAAATAACAGTTTTTGAAAAAAAAAAAAAAATTCTTTTAAATCACGTTTTCCACTGCAACGTCATTTAATAATGCGCTTTTAAATAGCTGGAGAACACGAGCTGAAATGGTTGCTGTTGAAAGCGGCTGCTTCCTCAAGTGGAAATACAGACAATACTTTGATTTCATTAAGCGTAAAAACAAAAATACTGCTGTAAAATGTAGTCTATAGCCCCTTTAACACAGTAATACCGGAAAATTTCCAGAACAACTTTAGCAGTAAATAAAAAAAAACCGCTGTTCACACAGGCACAGACGTTACAGAATGTGTCCGGGAAAGACCATTCACACATCCATTTTAAAATACCGGTAAATTCTGACATCATTAACCAGAAATGACTTCTAAACGGCTGCGCTTGTATTTGTAACCATTTGACTACATTACAAACTCTGTGGATGGATAAGTATTGTGAAAAACTTCGATGAAAACATATAAAGAAATACTTTCGCATGTCGAGATTTACATAATATCTGTGTGCTGGCGCTCACCGGCTGCTTCATGTGCAGAGCTTGAAGGTAAACAAACAACGGCTTATCATAAGCATCTTATCGATAATAATTTACACAGTTGGCATTAAGAAGCAACATAGAAAGTTATCTGACTAACATCTAGCAGCTAAATGTGTCTGGAAAAATATTCAATGGCTTTTATCTTCATAAACAGTGCGGATGTGAATGTTCTGATTGGCTGGAGTAGGCGTCTCACGTTAGCGTGTTCTAGATGTGAACGCGCTCTTTCCGGTAATCTTCCTTCTGCGTTCACACAGCACAGCATTCTGGCAAATTACAAGTAATGTTACAACTTCTCGTTCTGGAAAAAAGAAGGCCTGTTTTCAAAAAGGGCCTGTTCCCACATACAGACAGAAAAGTCTGTATTTGTGAAAGGGGCTTATGTCCAGACTATAAAGATCTCGACCAGAAACTTGTTCAAGCACTTGAACAGAAAGCGTTCAAAGATAATACTTGTCACCAATGAGGACACTGGCATCCAAAAATGAAAAAAAAAGAATTGTGCAGGATCGGGAGTAAAGGTATCTTCTGAATGTGAAGTGAAGCATAGCTGCTTATGGGGCTGTTCACTTATTACGTCTTTTGCATGCATACGTTATTTCCATTGGAGGCGCGTGGCTTGTACACACATATTCGGAGCGCATATTGCAAGCGCTCGTATTTTTCAGGCGGACCAGTTGAAAACCATGTGTGGAGTGATTCTGTATTCAACCCATCGTAATGTTTTTCAGTGAATATTAAATGACTGTAAAAGCTGCAGTTTATTTTGTATTCTGATTACTTTTTAGAATAAGAAATTAGTAATGTAACCAGATTACAATTTTCCTGTAGTAATCAGTAATTTGTGATCGATTACTTTTTTAAAGTAACTTACCCAACACTGTTCAGGAGTCAGACAACACTGCTTGTACAGTATTGATATGACTGTCTAAAAAAAGACTTATGTATTGTTAATTTTTGTGAGTCACACCAGGTTGCACTGTGTGTTTTTAATTCTCTGAGGTGACTTGTGAGAGCCATTCATTTTTAAATCAGACTATACTTGTTTTATGCTTCCAATTCTCTAAAAAGAAATGGCTTATAAAAGTCATTCATTCAGGGGTCAAACTTCAAACTGCTTTTGATTTTTAAACCATCTAGTCAAAGTCATTTCTTCTTACTACACTGGATTGTTTGGTTAGTTGTTTTTCCCTGGATTCCTAGACTCCCATCCTGCACACAGAACATTCCAATAAAAACATTCCTACACTGAGAACTCTAGTTGAAAAATCTGCTATTATACTGGTATACATTACACAAAGCCTATTAGCAACTATATAAGCAGCAGTTTACAAACAGCTGTATAAAATCCACTGCCGCTGTGCATTTCAAACATCCCGTCACGCAGACAGCCCTGCTACATGTTTCCTTTGCCAAGGCCAACAGTTGGAAACCGTGGTCAAACATCAATTGTTCCAAAAATCCTTGGGCTTATATCAGGCCCATCGAGAACAACAGTGGCTGCTTCATTAAACCCAGAGGACTTACAGGGCTCCAGCACTACTGGTACCTCATTCACACGCCCACAGAGGCTGGAAGCCGCAGACCTTATGTAATCAACACCTGCCGGGGCTTTTGCTGTCACTGCTGTTCTCTTGCAATGCTTCAATCTACACCATGAGGAGAAATGCACATCACTACCTGTATGCAGACAGGTGGTAAAGTTACACACCTTTCAGTTTCCAAAAGTGTTGCTGAGAACTGCTGGGCCAGAGTATTTCTACCTGGTATTAGCATGCATTTTCAGTGATCCTTTAACAAGTGGTCTGTCGAGAGCATTACTTCTGGTGTTAATGTGCATTCAAATGCATGCTGTGTGATGATTTGAGTTCAGATCTCAATAATTTTCAATGTGGGATTGCCACAGCGAAATAAACCAGCAACTTATCCAGCATATGTTTTACGCAGCAGACGTCCTTTCAGCCGCAACCCATCGCTGGGAAACATCCATACACACTCATTCACACACATACACTACGGTCAATTTTTCCATATCCAATTCATCTATAGCGCATGTCTTTGGATTGTGGGGGAAACCGGAGCACCCGGAGGACACCCACACAAACACTGGGAAAAAATGCAAACTCCACACAGAAATGCCAACTGATCCAGCCGAGGCTCGAATCAGCGATCTTCTTGCTGTAGGGCGATCGTGCTACCCACTGCGCCACCATGTCGCCGCTCATTGAGACTCCTCTGTCTAATTTGTTCATCCAATTAATTTTCAGTTCATCTTTATTTCTATAGCACTTTTACAATGTAGATTGTGTCAAAACAGTTTAACATAGAATTTCTAGTAAACTGAAACTGTCAGCCCAGTTCCAATTTCAGCATAGTTCAGTTCAGCATGGTTCAATTTTCACTGCTGAAAGTCCAAATACTGAAGAGCAAATCTATCAATGCGCAGCTCCACAAGTTCCAAAACCAAACAAGCCAGTGTCTTGAATTCATGATCTACATCTATCATTTTTGTGGGAGCTTTCCGTGATATGCATAAGTATTACTGAATGAATGAACTCATGTTATGCGGCTTATATTATAAGCAACAATAAAAGTGTATGAAAATGTTGTGATATTTTGATCATAATTTATGGGATTTCATAAAACCCAAGTAATTTCATGGCAATTCATAACTTTTTGATTAAGTGACTATTTCAGATTAATTTGTATTAATAAAATACCTATGAAAAAAACGCTTTTTAGGAATCCCTGGACTAGTTACCATTGATTCATTAATTTCCCTTCGGCTCAGTCCCTTTATTCATCAGGGGTTGCCACAGCTGAATGAACCGCCAAATTATCCAGCATGTTTTACACACTATGGCCAATTTAGTTCATTCAATTCACCTATAGCGCATGTCTTTGGACTGTGGGGGAAAGTGGAGCACCCGCGAACACAGGAAGAACATGCAAACTCCACACAGAAACCTCCAACTGGCCCAGCCAAGGCTCGAACCAGCAACCTTCTTGTGCAAAGCGACAGTGCTAACCACTGCGCCACCAACTAGTTACCATGTCAAATATTATTCACAAATTTTAAGATGGTACCTAAAACTGAGAAATACACTTCCACACAGTTTGGGCCATAAGAAAGAAAGCAGATGTAAAAATGAAGAAAAAAAAATGCTGTGACAAGAATCCAAGTGTTCATCAGAATGCATGTGATTTGGTAAAACCAATGCATTCTCATGACAAGTCGTAACTTTTTGATTTAGTGGCTAATTCATATTAATTTGTAAGATCTTACTAGTTGTCACAATCAGCAGCGATCTAATCCTGGCACTACGAATTCGCCGCTATATAGACTACAAGTTCCAATCTTGCACCGCTCACATGCACCTGTTCCTCATTCGGTAGATTACACACACTCACGGCTGGGAGATGCTCATGAACTGATTACAAGGACTATTTTTACAGCACACTCGCACTCAGGGCTGAGTCTTTTTATACCGTCTCTGAGAACATTATGATGCGATTTTTCTTGCCTTGCTTTGCAGTGTTTTGACCCTCACCTTGTTTGTCTGTTTGTTTATTTGTTTACAATGCCTGCTGCCTGCCTGTACTGACCATTCGCCTGTGTATTGACTACGACTCTAGACATCCCTGTTTGATCCTGTGTTGATTGTTGCTTGCTTGACCATTCTCTGTTCAGTAAACCCTGCATTTGGATCTGCCATCCTTTGTTAGCATCCCAATCACATTACACTAGTACATTTTAGCAAAATTTGGTCATCCCCCAATGAGGGGTAATTTTTTGGGGTGGGATTTGGGGTCATGCTTCCATTTAAAAAATCATGTTTTCATGAGAATGAAATTGTAGGAATTTGTAGGAATATGCCAGTTTTCTGACAATGTGTTTCCTCTTGAAATCGGGCTGACACAGTGAAGTATGAATGTCTTGTTTAGTGCTCTTTCTCAAAACACTGATAACAATCACATTAGGTCAGCAGGTGTTTTTTGTGTCTTTAGGAGCACACACACAAAAAAAAAAATTATATAAATAACCTCGACTTGGCAGATCATTTATATACTGCAACTCTCTAATGATTTGAAGTGCTTGTTTTATCATGACTTGTAAATCTCTTTGGATAAAAGTGTATAATTGAGTAAATATATATATTTTTTGACATGTTTTTGAATTTTTTTTACTGCTATTACTAATGTAGTCCGGTAAAGTGTGTTTTAGATGGTATCAAGACAGACTCAAAACGTTTTAGATCCCATTTATACCACTTGTTTATATCAGTCATCCACTTGTGATTCAATTGAAGAAAACCTTTCCTAATAGCAGGTGTAAACAGGGCCTAAAAATGAACATTGCAATATTCAACTGTATATTACTTTACTTTTCCGTTCTTCATTTTGAACGAAAGTAGATTTAAATAGGATGCTTTTTTTTAAATATTATTCACAATGTTTGAGATGGTAAAACTAAGAATTAAACTCCCACACAGTTAGGGACACAGACAGTAAATTACTCGACAATTCATGATGCCTGTAAAGCAGAGGTGTGCTATTATTTTTCAGGGGATCAGACATGCTGGTCATGACTCCCATGGGACAATAAAATGGCTGAAAAATCCCTTTGGTTTCCACGGAAAGAGGGCCAAGAGTCTTATCCAGAGACTAGGGCTATTAAAAAAAAATCATCCAGCAGCCAGGTATGATAGATAGTTAGATAGGCAGACAGACCACAACATGCTGTAGATTGTAGACTAAGTAATAATTATTAATTCAACTGAAATGGACTATTCTTGACTAATTCTATGACTCTTATTTACTGCTTAAATCCCCTCTTTGTGGGTGGAGAAATAGTGATTATACTGAAATTGCAGTGCATGTTGTTTCTATTATCAAGTCATTATCAGGAGAATGACAGCAAGAGCCACTCAGTCTAGTGTTTAACCTCATATCAAAAACATTTGCAAAACACACATAAATACAGATTAGATAATGATATTTGCAAACATATAATGCTCCATTTAATACACATGTAAACACACACTCAACAATCACACAGACAATGGCTCTCGTATCGGTCTAAACCTGTGTGATCATCTTTTTCTGTAGACACAAAAAAAGTAAAAAAAAAATAAATTAAAAAAAAGTCCATAAAATTAATATTAATAGGGTCCAAATCAACCTAAATCAATCCATCCATCCATCTATCTGTTGACAAATCCATCTATCCATCCCATCTATCTTTACATCCATCTATCCATCTATCTATCGTTATATTTATTGACACGTCCATCTATCAATCCATCCATCTATCTATACATCCATCTATCTATTCATCCATCTGTCTATCCAACCGTCTATCTTTCCATTCATCCATTCATCTGTCCATCCGTCCATCCATCCATCCATTCATTCATCCATCCATCCATCCATCCATCTGTCCATCCATTTATCCATCCATCCATCCATCCATCCATCCATCCATCAATCCATCCATATATTTATTGACACAACCATCTATCCATCTGTCCATCCACCCATCTATCTATCTTTTCATCATCCATCCCTCCATCGTTATATTTATTGACATATCTATCCATCCATCCATCCGTCCATCCATCCATCGTTTTATTTATTGACACATCCATCCATCTATCCATCCATCCATCTATCTAACTACACATCCATCTATCTACTCATCCATCTGTCTATCCAACCGTCTATCTTTCCATTCATCCGTCCATCCATCCATTCATCCATCCATCCGTCCATCCATTCATCAATCCATCCATCCATCCATCCATCCATATATTTATTGACACAATCATCTATCCATTCATCCATTCATCCATCCATCCATCCATCCATCCATATATTTATTGACACATCCATCTATCCATCCATCCATTCATCCATCCATCCATCCATCCACCCATCTATCTATCTTTCCATCATCCATCCCTCCATCGTTATATTTATTGACATATCTATCCATCCATCCATCCGTCCATCCATCCATCCATCGTTTTATTTATTGACACATCCATCCATCCATCAATCTATCTATCTATACATCTATTAATCTAAATTGTCCGTAGTGTATGTGTGTGAATGAGTGTGTATGGATGTGGAAGGGAAGAATGTTTTGATATGTGTTCAACGTATTTGAAATTCCAATGGTTGAAAATAAATATAAGAATTTGTGCGATATTTCAAAACATAAATGAGATATTTTATATATTTAAAATCCAAAGTTGCATATCATCCATGCAACTTACATATATTTACATTTACATGTATCAGATTTATATATGGGAATATGGGCTGAATTTAAAAAACACATTTAATTTGACCCCTGTGAGCTATTGCCTTGACAAAAAGAAAGACTAAATTTCAGTTTGGTTTTCAGTCTTAATTTTGATGTATTTTTCACAACAAATAATAACCAGAATGTGCTGGTATTTCAAATGAGAAAAACTGTATGTTTTGCTGTTGGGCAAAACAATCTGCTCTTTCAAGTTACCATGTGATCATTAATCCTCTTATAAAATGTCTGCCTTCAACCAATACACGGCTGTTCACTCACCTCAATGGGATCTTGATGGCGATGTATCGATCCACGGCAATGGCCAACAAACTGAAGACGGAGCTCTGCGTGAGGACCAGCACAAAGCAAGCGATGAAGAGGCATCCATGAAAATTGCTGCAGAAGCCGATGCTGATGGTGACGGCAAATGGAATGGCCAGGACTCCGACTGCAATGTCCGCCACGGCCAACGACACCACAAAGAAGTTAGTGATGCTCTGAAGGTTGCTGTTGAGGCAGACGGCCCAGCACACCAAAACATTTCCAGCCACGGCCAAAACCGCAATCACCAGTTCAAGAACAATGTAGACGAGAGAAGACATGGTGCTATCAACCAGTGTGAAAGGATATCCTCAGGGACACACATAGTTGTGCTCCCGATAATTGCTCAGTGGGACCTCACTCCGCCACTCAATAGCTCTTGCAGTAGGTGTGAGGACTAGCCAGCCCAACCATTCCGCCTGAGTTTGAAGGGAATGATGTGGTAGAAAATACACTTTGGGAGTCACTACAGTAAGTGGAGGGTCTGCGCAGACACACTTTCGCAAACCTTGATTTACCCGTTTACCGGACTGTCCCTTAGGTCCAGCTCACAACGGCTTTCATTCAGAGTCGTAAAGGAAACAGCTGCTAGACTGCATGAATCGACTCCCGTAGACGTTCCCTGGCACTTCTTTCTCTGTAGAAAGAACAATAATATCACACAATAAAACATCAACCTCTTTGGGTCACAAAAGCAATTCATCTACAAACAGGAGGTTTCCATCAAAAGGATGGCAGGCCAAATCAAACAATAAGGTTTTATTTTAGAAAAGACTCCCAACAATATGAATGCAATATTTGTGCGTGCCTGCTATTTATTGCAAGACCTGACCGGCACTTCCTTGGCTAGTTTCTAGGATGTGTACATGTTGAACTTTGCAATGCCTTTGCTATTATTGGCTTAGTAATGCGAACAAGTATTCTTTTGTACCCATTCATGTGATTCTGCATTCATGTTTGAAAGAATTTTACTGAGTTTTTCCTTTATTACATGAATAAATGATCATTATTATTCTGTTATATCACAACTGAATGCTTTAATTGTGTTTATTTAAAACAGTATTATTATAAAACATTATTACAAAGTTAAATAATATATGTTTAGTAATATAATATAATATAACAGATTGGAAAATGTCATTTTTTCCCATTATGGAAAGTTGAATATTCAAAAAACTTTATTTTAGAGATCCTACATAAATCATTTCAATATTCTGCATTGATGGTCAATAAATAATGTATTTCTTATTAATATCAATGTTGAGAACAGTTCTGTTCAATATTTGAGTGGAATCTGTGAAAAATTGTGAACAATCAGAATAAATAGACAGAAAAGCATTTATTTGGAATAAATGTAACATTTTGTCAAAGTATTAATGTTTGCCTACACCTTTGATCAATTTAAAGTGATATTAAGTTAAACAATTTAATGAATATTGCGGAAAAAAAATAATCTAACGTTTAGATAATAAGTAAGTCAGGGCTTCTCAAAGTCTGGACTCCGGTCCGGACCTGAGGAGAATTTTATCAATAATTGTGTGTGAGGGATTAAACATGCGCACTTACAACTAGGGCTGGGCCGATAAACGATAGTATATCGAAGCGTGATCAAATTTATGCCGATAACAATGATGAGCTCTGACTTTTTTTACTCCATATTGATCTAAGAGCCAATCACACAGCAGAAATCTGCAACAATGGGAATCTAGAAGTGTGTTGATATTAGAAATGCACCGAATTTTCGGCTGCCAAATGTGATTGAAAATAGGTTATGCCATTTAATATACCCTCTAATTATCGTGGCTTCGGTCATGGTTGGAGACTACTCTTTTAAATCTGAAAAGTTTAACAACTGATGTCTAAATATAAAGTTGAAGTCAGAATTATTACCCCCCCCCTCCCCTCTACTGTATATCGTTATTTTTTATATATGGAAAATAATTAATCGAGGTTGCACTTTCGCCCAGCCCTATAAATTTATTCAAAATAATAAGTTAAACTTGTAATCTTGTTGCTTTTTATGTCTTTTTTGACATTTGCTGTAATCAGGCAACACTCTTCACCGCAGTGAGCATTTAAATGTGTGAGATTGTCAGTTTCTAAAAGCAAAGTTGGTGAAGAAGCATTATTGAACAGAGACGTGTGCATTCATTTTGTTTCAATCTCAACACAAAACTGTTGTCTGATTTATAGCAAGATGTGTAAGAGTTGTGAAAAATGGAAACACCATTATGTAACAAAAGATTAGTCAGCTGATGGAATTCAGATAGTGTCAACTTTTCACACTAGAGTCCTCTGTTTTTTCCACCATGTTACTTTTAACCCACCTCTGGTTGTGTTTTGTTTATAAAAACTGCTGACACTTGAAGTGTCACTTGCTGTTTCGCCACTTTTGCACTTGTTATTAATGCATTTTACATGCAATAAACACTTTAAAAAAGGTTGATGTACAGTTAAAGTCTAAAGTAGTTTAACAAAGCTAGGAATTTTTGACAGTATTTCCTATATTTTTTCATCTGAAGAAAGCCTTATTTGTTTTATTTCAGCTAGGATAAAAGCAGTTTCAAATCCTTTTAAAACCATTTTAAGATCAATAATATTAGCCCCCTTAAGCAATATATTTTCAATTGTCTATAGAATAAACCACTGTTATACAATGACTTGCCTATACCCTAACTTGACTAGTTAACCTAATTAAGCCTTTAAATGTCACTTTAAGCTAAATACTAGTATCTTAAATATATCTAGTACAATATTATGTGCTTTCATCATGGCAAAGATAAAAGAAATCAGTTATTAGAAATGAGTAATTAAAACTATTATGTTTAGAAATGTGCTCTCTCTGTTAAACAGAAATTGGGGGAAAATATACAGGGGGGCTAATAATTCTGACCTCAACCTCAACTGTTTTGTTATCATAACCAAATTTTCTAGGTCTTGGACACCTATAAAAATTCAGATTTGGACCTTTGAATTAAGACTTTGAGAACCCCTGCAGTAAACACTATGTGGTATAGTGCTCAATCTGAAACAAGTTCAAAATGTAAAGCATCAAAACATTTCTTTCTGTAATTAAATCAGTCTGGCTTGACTATTTTGGCATCTACATTGTGGTTTTGGGTAAACCTATCTAGATAGAATTGAGTAACCTCAGCATGTCATGCAAGGTAGACCACATTGTCTTTTGTTGTTATCTTTTATAAGAGATTTCTTATCTCTAAGCTCTAGCTTGATTGATCAGGCACAACAAAAGTGATGATTACAGTCACGGTCACTGTTCCCATGTGGTTTAGTGTTGCTGTAGGCTTTTTTTAGTGCAGCGTGACTTTGGTATGATAGAATGACAAACTGTTTCCAATGCATAGCGTTTGCATCAACGACACTATTCTACCAAAACACTTCCTGCGCATAAGGGCAAGGTACTTTCCAAATCACGTTCGACAGTTTTGAGCTATCATAATATTAAGCACATGGCAGCAGGATTGAAATGACTTGCATAATGGCTATATTTATTAAAGAATAAAATGGATGTTGGGGTGCTGAATACTATATTTGGCAGAAATTCAGCAAGCTTGTTCTTCTGTGTGAGATGAAATAATGTTGAAGGTTTTGAGGACTTTAATATGTTGTGCCATTTGCTTATCTATCATTATAAAAAGCATGCTTAAAGGAATAGTTCACTCCTGTTAATTTACTCACCCTCAGACCATCAGGGATTTAGGTTTTAAGATTTTAAAGGAATACTCCCCTATAGTTAAAAAGATTTACATTTTTAAATCCATTCAGGCAATCTCCAGGTCTGGATTAGAGCAGTTTAAGCTAAGTTAAGCATAAATCAATAAATTGGATTAGACCATTAGGCTATCTCGCTTTAAAAAATAAATAAATAAAAAAAGAGGCTTGATATTGTGTAGTAAGCTAAGCTGTTTTTTTCTGGGTCAATATGGATATGGGAACTAATAATCAACCCTGCAGGCACAGGACATCAACATGATGTCATCTTGACGTTGTACCCCAACGTCTTGGGGACAATGGATTTTGTTTGGAAGTGAAAATCGAGTTGACGTCAGAACCCAACATCAGGCCAACGTCAATGTCTAACGTTCAACCTAAAATCAACCAAATATCACCATCTAATTATGTTACACATTAAAGCTGTGTGGACGTTACCACTATGACATCTATCAGACGTTGGAATCATCCAAATATCAACCTAATTTGACGTTGTTAGTGGACATCAAAATAAGGTTGTCCTTAGATGCTGGCTAGACATTGAATTTTGGTCACCTGACATCATGTCCGAAATCTAACCTAATATTAACGTCTTATGATGTTGTGTGCCTGCTTGGAAGGAACTTTGTTGCCATACCACGGCTGCAGCAGGCACTAGGGTTGCACGGTGGTATCGTGATACTATGGCTCTAAAATACTGCCGGTGCCACTGTACTTTGTAAACGTTAGTATCGTCATTACGACCTATCTACAATACATAATGTTGCACGTAAAAAAGGCACTAAAATGCTCAAACGGTTATGCAACAAAAGACCATTTTATTTAAATAGTCTGTGGAGCCCTTTAAGATTGCAAAACTGTGTAGAATTTGTGCCTTTTATGGTAACCTGTTTTTGAGTTCAACCTAGCTTGAGTTCGAACACACATCTGAATCAGTTCAGTTCTGTTCCTGTCAATATGATAGCTAAAACAACTGCGACAATCTCTTAAAAAGAACGACTCACAAAGTAAAATTTGGAGTTGCTTTGGATTCTTACCTGATAAGGCTTAATACAACAACAAAAAGCCAATAGATGAAAACCCTAAAAAAGCAACAAGATACATTGAAACATATTATGACCACTTCTATAGCCAAATTTTGATGAAAAATGCTCTTTTTGTAACGAATTTTGTTTGGAATTATTTGTATCTTTATTTTAATGTATTTTTGTTGGTCAGATATCTACAAAATAAACAAAAAGAACTAATGCATTTTGGGTAAAAAGATGTGCAAATACTTTTTCAATAATAAGGGAATTCAATTCGAGAAGGCCTATTATAACATAAAATATAGTATTTCTGACAATTTTTTTTTCTTTCATAGATTTGAGTTATGAATTACAGTATCGCAATATTACTTGGTATCATGATACTTCAGCTGGTATAGCGTCGTAACATTAATTGCATTGTGGCAATCCTAGCAGGCATAATAATATTTTGCAGCCCTGTTACCTAGTTAGGGACTATTTTCAGGTATGTTATTACAACACAGTTCCTTGATTATTACACAGGAATGAAAGCAATTCCTTGCCATATCGGACTAGAAAATAGCAATAGGAAAATTATCGAAACTCTTTTTTGAAAATTTTTAACAAGATGCTAATAGTCTAATCCAATTCAATGATTTATGCTAAGCTAAGCTAAACGTGCTCCCGCCAGACCCGGAGATAGTCTGAATGAATTCAAAAATGGTAAAACTCAACTATTTAACTCTAGGTGAGTTGTAATATGAGGTACTTACAAAACAAAGTGGAGTTTTGTTTTTTCTTTATGTAGAAACCAAGAAATGCCACATAAAAAAGTATATCCGGGCACAAACTCACACAGCATCTAGGATAAGTATGAGAAAGTACCAGTTTTATGTGCAATACAGCACATGTGAGTTTATGCCCGCATATACATCAATTTGTGACATAACTGTCAAGTCCGGTTGCTGAGGATGTGGATTAAAAGTAATGTGGTATATTCTAAAAATGCTGGGCTGTTTTAACACAAAATTGGAAAAATATAGACAGATTCAAGCACTAGGCTAATATTGGGCTGTAAAATTCAACCCAGCAGTTGGATTTGACAATATCATACCCACATTTGAGGTAAAGTAACCCAGCATTATTAGTATATGTAATTAAAAGTTTGAAGAAAAGTTTGTTTGGCGATTCTGTTTTTTTTTTTTACTGTCATGGTGGGTTGCACCACTATAGATTAAGCTAAATCTAGATTAAATCAAGGTTTATCTTGCTTTAAAAGTGGTTTTTTGATAAATCCCTTAAATGGCACATTTACATTATTGATTATTGATTTTTTTATGTTCTGCTGAAAAAACTACAACTACATCCTAAATTACTTGAGGATGTATACTTTTTGGTTTACTATTTAATGGTTATCGAGTTGTAGAGTAATTCTAAGATGCATCTGCCCAAAATAACTTAATCAAAAATTATACAAATAGTCTAAATGACAACTTACAGAAGAGAAAGATATTGTTGATCACAATAACAAAAATATACCTAAATACACCATATAATACTCGTAAATATTTTTTGTAAATAATTTCATACACTGTAAAACCCAACAGTCAACTTTATCAAATGAAATAAGTGTAGTTAACTCGAAATGTACTAAAAAGTAAATTCTACTAATTTAAAAAAAAGTTTTGAATTCAGTGTTGAAGGTAATAAGTTAATGAAATTCCTCATTACTTCAACTTAAATGAAGTTAGTTAACAGTACTCATATAGGTTAGTTTTTTACTCAAATGGTTTGTTACCATTGGTTTCCTCAAACAGTTTGAGTTGCCTTTACTTATTGGGTTTTACAGCACTCAGTTGGTTCTCTTCATTTATGGGTTTTTACTGTGCTCAAATTGCTTCATTTACTCAAATGGATTAAGTTACCTTAACTTTTTGGGTTTTACAGTGTAAATAAATTTTTGTAGATACCTGTCAAATAACATGGACATAAACTTTTAAACTTTTCATTACATTTAATGTATATTATGTCACATATTTTATAGTTAAAAGTTCATGTCCATGTAATTTAACAGTTATCTACAAATATTTCTTTATGAAATGATTTACAAAAAATGTATTTAAAGTATTGCAATTATTGTACGTAAGTGGATATATACACACACACACACACACACACACGCATATATATATATATATATATATATATATATATATATATATATGTATATATATGTATATATATATTTACTTTTTAGAACCCAAAAAGTGTGCATAAAAAAGTGTGCATAAATATTTTACTATTTCTTGTTCATTTAAAATATTGTCATTAAATTATTAAATTGTCATTAAGTAAAAATTACAGTTGTACACATTGTACAGTTGTACAGTTGTTTTGCGACTGCATACCAGAGTTATTCCACCAGATATTGATTTATTCTGGAGTTAAAACATTGTATTGTGTTCCATGGTATCAAAACTGTTTATAAACATGTCTAAAAACATGACACCTTTTTTGTTAATTTATGCAACCAAACAATTGTTATTTTAAACACACACATGGTACTTACAAATTAAAATGAGGTGATAAAATAAAAATTGCTGATAAAAGATTAAAGAACCCCCTTTAAAATTTAAAATTCACACAAACATGAACTGTAGAAAGTTGTTGCCAACCCTTGTCATTATTTGTTCTGTATATATACACACTGTAAAGGATTATATAAACAATTAGTCATGACAGCATATGGTTTTTAGACCATTGTAACTTATTAAACTAAATTAATCATAATCTAAGTTATTTTAATAAGTTATGCAGGCTGTTTTAAGTCAGTTTAACATAATTTAAGTTCAATAAACTCATAAGGTTAATTTGATTCAGCTTAAAATTTTAAGGCAACCAGGTGTATAAAGTGTAGGCTACAGTTGAAGTCAGAGTTATAAGCCCGCCTTTTATTTTTTTTATTTTTTTTAAATATTTCCCAAATTATGTTTAACAGAGCAAGGAAATATTTACAGTATGTCTGATAATATTTTTTTTTTGTTCTAGAGAAAGTCTTATTTGTTTTATTTTACCTAAAATAAAAGCTGTTTTTAAATTTTTTTAAAACCATTAAAGGTCAAATTTATTAGCCACTTTAAGCTATATATTTTTACGATAATCTACAGAACAAACCATCATTATAGAATAACTTCCCAAATAACCATAAACGAGTTAACCTAATTAACCTAGTTAATCTTTTAATGTCACTTCAAGCTGTATAAAAGTGTCTTGAAAATTATCAAATATTATTTAATGCCATCATGGCAAAGATAAAATAAATCAGTTATTAGAAAGGAGTAACTATTATGTTTAGAAATATGTTGAAAAAATCTTCCTATTAACAGGCTGAAAAAGTTACTTTAAAGTCAGCTATATCTCAGACGTTATTATTAACCAAACACAGCTGTTAACACTGTAAAAAGATTTCCGCTCTGTTACTCACTTTGGCTTTGTTTCCGCCGCGCACCTGAGTTGTCTGTTTCTCTTCAGGAATCTCATCGCTTCTCAGTCTCAAACCTCAGAACTTGGTGAATGTAAATACGTGAAGTACAAATTAAATAATTCCACACGTTTTCATCATACTGACGTGGTAAGTTTCTGAGCTATTTTGAAAGAGTTTGGTCCAGTTGTGCTGACTAGCAGCTTCTCTCGCGCTCCGCGGAGTTGTGGCAGAGAAGAGCGCGCGCTTTCACGGTGTCACTCACGCGCTCTGTGAGAAACAGACGCGCGCCTGATTGGTTTTCGTGGTTACATTAAACATGATGTTTTTCTCACTACAAGGGAATCGTGGGTGGTGACTACTTCATCATACTGTCGTGTCATTCTTCATACTCCCTGCTGTTACAGCAGTAGGCTAAAATGCATTATTATGCATACTGAATATTAAATGGGCTAAATAAATAATTAATATATTTTAATAACTATATTTTGTTGTTATTTGTCTAATCATAATAGTGTTAAAACTTTTAATAAATAAATTAATTAATTATTATTATATAATATAATTCTTTAATGAAAAATGAAAAATAAACGGATAAAAAAATAAAGGATTTTTGTATCACCAAAGTGATTAAATGTTTCATTTAACTGCCTGTGTCACCTAATAAATTAATTATAATTTTGTATATATAAAATTAATTCTTTAAATAACGTGTTTGGTAGTTATTGCCAATCTACCAGTGGAAAAAAGTGTCTTAAATGTTTAACATTATAATTCTATAAATTCAAGTAGGCCTAAACTTTTGAGACAATCGCGAACCCTAATGTTTTCCAGTTACTGACTATTTATGATTTGACACCTGACGATTTATACATAAGACAGGTTAGTATTTCACAAACGCAGGCCTATGTTTTAAGACAGTTAGCAGGCTAGCTCGTCAGCTATTTTTAACGGCGTCTTTGCAAAGCAGTCGGAAAGACAATAGCTGATGTAAACGTGAGGATAAGGAAGTGAGGGACCTGTGATGGCACCGAGAGGTTGTGTGATTTCTCACGTACAGCTGAAACATCCTGCTTCACCTCAGGGCCACATGAAGATAAATGTATGTAATCAGCAGAGCAGAGGCTCAGTCCACCCACCGAGACTTCATTAAAGCACGCAGAGCACACTGCAATCACATTTCTTCATGTTTCGAATCTGACGACACTTTTTGCGCCCGACTATGGCAAGCCGTATTAACATTCAATCTGGAAACAGCACTACTCTGTATTTTTATTTCACTGTAGTAGCCAGTCTATTTCATAAGATACTACACTCTAAAAAACGCTGGGTTGTTTTTTAACCCAAATGCTGGGTTGAGACTGCTAGGTAACAAATTTGGATTGATTCTACCCAATTTGAGTTGAAAATCAGTCTATAACCCAGCAGTGCTGGGCTGAAAACGCGGACGTGAAAGAGAGCGCGCACGTCACGTCAACATGCAGGGACATCAGTGTGAGAAACCGCCATTTTCTTTGCGCCGTCTTTTAAGGGAAGCGAGTGAAATTCTGTCTGAATAGAAGTTTTATTAGTGTGTATTTAACAATTTTCATAAGAAATAACACAGTTTACATTAAAAAGTATCTGTTAAAAACAGTTCATTCCAACCTGATCTCAAAAGGAAACCTAAATATTATATGTTTTGTCTGTTTAGAGGCTAACTTGTAGAGAAGGTGAAGGAAAAGCAAAATGAACCCCGCCCCTAAACCCAACCATAGAGTGAAGGAAATATGATGTCAATTTGTATGCAAAAACCTGTAAACAAGTTAGCCTTTTAGCAGTTCCGGTTTCCATGCTCCAAAGTCAACAGGTTTTTTTAAATCGGATCTCGATTAAATTGCTTGAATAAGGTTCGTGGCTCACCCAAACTCAAGATACTTTCAGGTTTCTTCTCCGAAACAAACCAGTTACATCACACTCTTGATTAATCGGTTACGCTTCTTTAAAAAGACGGTTGCTATCATGTTGCTAAATGGGACTAGTGGGAATGTCGGAGACATTATACGTCATCTAGCTGAATTGGTCTGTGCAGCTCACTTGTGTTGGCCATTTGGATTTGTTAATTAAGCATTTTCATGAATAGTATTATAGTTTGCAGTATTTTTGTAATTGGGATTTCATATTGTGTGTAGATATTGCCTTCACTTTGTAAAGACCATCAAGACAGATTAATTTGTTGATCATTTATTTGAATTAAAGATATCATTAAGATATACTGCTTACCAGTGCAGCCTGTCTCTTTCCTGCTCTCATTAATGCAACTGTGGGAATAAATTTGTAAAAGTATAAATAAATGTCATCAGAAGTGGGTAGTAACGAATAACATTTTAAGTAAAATTGGGTAAAGTGTACTTTGAGTACATTGAAAAGTGTCTATTTTTTCTCTAGTAAATTATTAGAGAAAAGTCACGTACTCTTACTTCGCTATATTTAGCAGTGTTCCTCCATTACTGTCAAATGATAATAAATATGATTCAGAGGTTTCTAGTCTCCCGCTTTCATTTGGTTAAAGCTCACGCTTATGTTGGAACTGTGGTTGAAGTCGAGGAAGATGTGTGAGTTTATACAGGGGTCACGCCATGGCCTTATACGGATCCAAGAAGGATGGACAGTCTGACGCAGAGGTCACCTGCGGCCTCAAGTTCAGTCGATGTTTTCACCCCAAATTGTCAACAAGAATAACGTTAGTTTGATAATGCAATGCACGCATCGAACTGACATTGCAACATGCAGATATACATGAGCCACAGCTCTAACCTGAAAAAGACATGTAGTGGTGTCAAAATTATCCCAATTTGAACCTTATTAATGGTAACTAAATTATTGGATAACTAATAACTGGAACCTGTTGTTTCATGGAATAACTGATTAGCCCTGCACATATAAGTCATTTACACAGTTAAGTGTTAAAAATCTAACATTTAAACGTTATTTTTTAAACATACAAATATATGTAATGGATTTGCTATTTAAACAACGTGGCGCAAAACATGAAAATTAGAGTTGCACTGGTCTGAAAACAACAGCAAATCGCGCCAAACACTTCTTACCCACCTTATTGAGCCGGAAGTATAACAGGACCCTTTATGTCTATATTATCCTCAAATGTTTGATTTACTAAATGCCCTTATTTATTTTTAATGATATAGTTATATTTATGTCATTAATGACATTTTATTGTTAATAGTAACAAATAAAAAATGTAGATTATTTGCTACCTCTTTCATTACAGATGTATTCCAGTTGTGACAATTGTTTACTATACATCAAAGGGTACGATTAATAAGCGCTAACATCAAGAAATACTCAATATTCAATTTCAGTTGAAAGTACGTCAACATACTAAAATCAAAGTCTCAGGAACATCCAGTTCACACAGATATGAAAATAGCCACATGTGGGAAAAGGTGAGTATTAAATGGAAAATTGGCTTGCCATAGTGCTTCGGTTAATCAAATCCATACATGTATGATCATTTTTATTATCCTTTTTTTTTTTTTTTTTTTACTACAGTTTTGTTTCTGCATGCTTTCAAGCAGTCGGCACAAATATAGCCACTTACCTCAGAGTGCCAGACACAATCTGTGTGAAAATGAAAGGTTATTTTAGTGGTAGGAGGAAGTTCTCGAGTCCAGCTGTTAAAATAGACCTTTTCTGCTGCATCACTTCTTTCTTTTCCACAAGACAAGGTAGCTTAAATTATTTTGTTCCAGTTCTGATTCTGGAAGCAGCCAGGCATGACTTCCAGGAAAAGTTGTTGTAAAAAAAAAAAAAAAAAGGATCCAGATTTTCATCCATTGTCCAGTTTCTTGTCTGTGTGTCCTTGGATTAATTTAAAAGACTCCTGTGTGTCGTTAAGATATACGTCAAGTGTCTAATAAGGTATCTGGGATTCAACATGTTAGATGCTGAAGGATAATGTGATGAATTTATTTACAGTTGAAGTAATTGTTTGTGCCAGAATGACCTCCGGGTCAAAAAAATGAGATCTATATATCAATAATTAAATATACATGAGGAATATAGTTATAGGAAGAAATTAGTTTAGGAGTGATAAACAACTGCTACTTATTTATATATATTAATAATATAATATAATTTGTAGCTGAATATTAGTCTTTCAGTCAGTTGACAAGGAAACACTTCTAATATTTATTATTAATATTGTTGTTATTACTATTTATTTACTTTTGAAGGTTAAGATTAACTGTATTTACTTCAACTTTGTTTCAAATATTAAATATAATTTCTAATTTAGACTTTATATTTATCAGTTTAATTGTATTACAGTGTTAAGCCATTTTAGTTAAATAACAAAAGAAAAATGTATAATTAAAATTTTATAAAATAAATAATAACATATATAAAAATGGTTCCAAAATTTGAAGAAAACAAATATTTATTATTACGCATACAGTATGTATTAATGTTTTTTTTTTTTAAATAAAATTTCATTTACACACACACACACTCACCGGCCACTTTATTAGGTACACCTTACTAGTAACAGGTTGGACCCCTTTTTGCCCTCAGAACTGCCTTAATCCTTTGTGGCATAGATTCAACATGGTACTGGAAATATTCCTCAGAGATTTTGGTCCATATTGACATGATAGCATCACACAGGTGCTGCAAATTTTTCCAGCTGCACATCCCTGATGTTAATCTCCCATTCCACCACATCCCAAAGGTGCTCTATTGACCTTATTCTCCGCCGACGAGTGGGTGCTGCCATTTGAATCTTTTTGGCTCAAGACTTCCGGTCTCATTCACTTCCATTCATTTTTAGACATTAAAAACTGCTCATTACGCTGCTTGATGTTGCAATTTGATATTTTCTTGTTATTTTATTCTACTTGGTCTGTATGGTCATGCAAACATTTGTTTGTAGAGCAAGAAGTTTGACCGTTTTCTGCCGTTTATTATTCCAAGTAATTTCCCCCATAGGCGACTGAATCGGAAGTTCTAAGACAATCGCGAAAACAGGTGCACTTCCGCATTTTAGAATAAGGTCAATTGGATTGAGTTCTGGTGACTGTGAAGGCCATTTGAGTAAAGTGAACTAATTATCATGTTCAAGAAACCAGTCTGAGATGATCCGCACTTCATAACATGGCGTGTTAACCTGCTGGAAGTAGCCATCAAAGATGGGTACACTATGGTTATAAAGGGAAAGCAACCACACTCAGAGGGGCTGGGGGCGTGGTGGACAGGATGCTCAATTGGTACTAATGGGCCCAAAGTATGCCAAGAAAATATCCCCCACCCCATTACACCACCACCACCAGCCCGAACCGTTGATATAAGGAAGGATGGATACATGCTTTCATCCTACCATCCGAATGTCGCAGCAGAAATCGAGACTCATGAGTCCAAGCAACGTTTGTCCAATCGTCTATTGTACAATTTTGGTGAGCCTGTGTGAATTGTAGCCTCAGTTTCCTGTTATTAGCAGACAGGAGTGGCACTGGTGTGGATATCGGTTACTGTAGTCCATCTGCCTCAAGGTTGGACGTACTGTGTGTTCAAAGATGCTCTTCTGCATACCTCAGTTGTAACGAGTGGTTATTTGAGTTACTGTTGCCTTTCTATCAGCTCAAACTCTGGCATCAACAAGGTATTTGCACACACAGAACTGCCGCTCACTGGATATTTACTCTTTTTCAGACCATTCTCTGTAAATCCTAGAGATGGTTGTGCATGAAAATCCCAGTAGATCAGCAGTTTCTGAAATACTCAGACCAACCAGTCTGGCACCAACAACCACGCCATGTTCAAAGTCACTTCAATCACCTTTCTTCCCCATTCTGATGCTCGATTTTAACAGCAAGTTAAAACAAGTCTTGACCATGTCTACATGCCTAAATGATTCATTAAGTTACTGCCATGTGATTGGCTGATTAGAAATTTGCATTAACGAGCAGTCAGACAGGTGTACCAAATAATAATAATAATAATCATATTATATATATATATATATATATATATATATATATATATATATATATATATATATATATATATATATATATATATATATATATATATATATATCTTTGGCTTTTTTTTGGTTTTCAATATTTCTAAACACTAAAACCACAGCAAGGCCAATCACGCAAATAATCCACAAACTCCACACATGAAAATATCAAACTGTATTTGTACACAAATATTGATCTTTCAAATCCTTGCTTACAGGAAACATTTAGTCAAAAAATCCTCCCCTCAACACATCATGCAGTGCTCTAGGAAACGTTCAGGTGAAACGAACAAGTATTTATAGTGTCAACAAGGCAAACATTCCAGAACTCACACAAATGTTAATCATAGCAAGGAAGCACAGCAAGATATGATTTACTTCAAATCAAAATCTTCATCATCAAACGTCATACGATTAGGTAGCAAAACCGCGTTCATGACCAACAATTCACAAGAAAATCCCAACAAAAACGTCCTTGCCACTACTGACCTTTTCTGGGAAATCCAACGTCAGTGTCAATGGCATTTGCACATACAAACAAAATCACTTAAAACACAACAGAGCTCTATGTAGTGTAAATACAATAAGTTAGTTTTGCATCAAACATGATTTGCCCTTGACATAAGATACATTTTGTACTGCTGTCATAAACCTTGCTGCAACCCGCTTTGATCCCTTGTTTTAAATTGGTTGTTTAGTCACCAAAATAATAATAATATTAATAAAAGTGAAACAGCAGTGCATTGAAGACAGCATGGCGAACGAGAATTGTGCTCTTGGCTTGTCCTATTCCTTGTAAGGCTTCGGATTTGTGTGCAGACTAAAGTACAATATAAAAACGAAGGAGGTACGGTGCTTGAGTAAACCGCAAGCTTACGGTGCGGATGGATTGTAGTCGTCTCATTTCACATTTCATTTCAGTGAAAACACATTCAGCCTTTTATTTATTTGTGCTTTTACACCCAAAAAGACAAACTCAATCTGAGTCAGCGAAGCTTCCAGAACCCAGCTGGCTTTATGTGTCAAATGAGGATTAGTAGTGCGTAGACAACAACAACTGAAATGCTGAAACGCATGAAACATTGGAAAAGAATATTAATACTAAAATAAAAAGAGCAGCTGTGCATTTCATTTGAGCTGATATTTCAAATTAAAACATCTTGCAGTGTTTTCAGTGATCAGCTGGAATGAGGATTATAGGGGAGGGGGTTGGCTGGTTTAAATGACGTTAGATTCATAATTAGCTTTTATTTAGTGTCCAAACATGGTTTAGAGTTATAATAGCAACAAAACTAGTTTAAAAATTCAGTCATTTTTTATTTAACCTCTTAAACTTATAAGAAATGTGTTAACTAATCAAACCTGACAGATTTCTGTCCCTCCATGTTTACTTGAAACATCCAATTAGGATTAAGTCCAAGTAGACCGATCGGTTTCATTCAAGTGTTCTGAAGAGAAAATAAAATCACTTCTAAGGATCAATAAATGTTGGCTTTAATTCATTTAAAAGTAAAGATTAAATATTGTTTACAGCATTCTAATTTGCTCACAGAGGCTCAAGTTTGCTTTATTGACAAGTGAGAACCAATCAGCTTCATTCTTGTGTTACGCAGCACATCAAAGCTTCTGTAAGAACCAATCAGCTTCATTCTTGTGTTACGCAGCACATCAAAGCTTCTGTAAGAACCAATCAGCTTCATTCTTGTGTTACGCAGCACATCAAAGCTTCTGTAAGAACCAATCAGCTTCATTCTTGTATGTCACAAGGCACATTTGAGCTTCTGTAAAAACCAATGAGATTTTTTTTCTTGCATGTCACATGGCTCATTTGAGCTTCTGCAAGAACCAATGAGATTCATTCTTGTGCTAGGCAGCACATCTAAACTTCTGCAAGAACCAATGCGATTCTTTCTGGTGTTACGCAGCACATTTGAGCTTCTGCAAGAACCAATGAGATTCATTCTTGTGTTACGCAGCACGTTTGAGCTTCTGCAAGAATCAGTAAGTTTCATTCTTGCATGTCACATAGCGCATTTGAGCTTCTGCGAGAACCAATGAGATTCACTTTTGCATGTCACATGACACATCTGAGCTTCTGGAGAACACGTCACGTGGCACATTTGAGCTTCTGTAAGAACCAATGAGACTCATTCTTGTTAAGCAGTGCATTTAAACTTTTGCAAGAACCAATGAGATTCCTTCTTATGTTACGCAGCACATCTAAGCTTCTGCAAGAACCAATAAGATTCATTCTTGCATGCCACATGGTGTATTTGAGCGTCTGCAAGAACCAATGAGATTCAATCTTGTGTCACGCGGCACATTTGAGCTTCTGCAAGAACCGATGAGATTCATACTTGCATGTCACATTTGCTTTTGCAAGAACCAATGAGATTAATTCTTGCATGTCACATGCTGTATTTGAGCTTCTGCAAGAACCAATGAGATTCATTCTTATTTTATCCAGCACATCTAAGCTTATGAGAGAACAAATAAGATTCAATCTTGCATGGCGCAGGGCACATGGCACATTTGAGCTTCCGTGAGAACCAATGAGATTCCTTCTTACGTGTCACATGGCACATTTGAGCTTCCGTAAGAACCAATGAGATTCATTTTTGCGTGTCATATGGCACATTTGAGCTTCTGTAAGAACGAATGAGATTCAGTCTTACATGTCACATGGCACATTTGAGCTTCTGTAAGAACCAATGAGATTCATTCTAGCATGTCACATGGCACATTTGAGCATCCACAAGAATGAAAACCACTCAATATGGATCCTATATGGATTTTCTGTTTTTGTCGGTCTCTTTTGAAGCACCAGAGCTTTGGGTGAACAGCGGTCTTCAGAAAAGGGACTGAAATATCTCAGATTGCATAAAAAAATACTTAAATATATATAAAAAACTAACTTGTGCTCCAAGATTAACTTAAAGTCTTATGAGTTTCAGTACATGATATCAGTTTTCAGGGGATATAACCCACTCTTAGATGTTAGAAAAACCTAAATAAATGAAATGAAAGAAAATTGAGCTTATTCAGGCTAAGAAAAAAACATTTGTGTGGATGAATCCTGTTCTTTGGAATAAATACTGATAATCTAAGACCAACACTGGGATAAAACTGGAAAACAAGGCATCTCTCAAAGGCATTTGATTTCTGAAACACAGAACTTTTGTTGCTTAATTGGCACAACTCACTTTAAATCATGTTGCAATGTTCTTAAAGGAAGTTGCTGCCTGCCAACCTCTTGTCTTCTTGCAACTAAAAGCTTTAGTAGGATCTGACCTGTTTTAGCAGCCATAGAGGATTTTGGGAAAACACAAGATTGTACGTCGGCCGGGCAGCAAAGGCATCTTGGAAATTTGTAGTATCTTGGGAATAGCAAGGACCGAGGTGAGACTGCAGCTGCAGGTATGGACTTTGTAGAAGATTCTCAGGTCTCAAAGTACTTATAGATGGACGTCACATAGGTCATGACGCTCTGCCAGTCCGGTCTTTCTGTGTGCACCATTTCACCAATGTCCTGTCAGGCAGAGAGTCAGATATACGAGAAGGAAATGATCAGAATTGCATGATGTGTTTGTCAACCTTACTGCTGTTGAGTGTTATGTTACAGAAGTATCTTGCAAAGCTTGTTGAGCAAAGGGCACACAAAACAGCTTTTATAACATGGCAAGCAGTCACCATTTACTGCAAACACAGCTTTATGAAATCATTCAATTAAATACAACGGCAATCACAATTCACAACTGATAAAGCACAATTTATAAACACAAAATCTAGGAAAATCCTAAAGAAAAGTTGTGTATGACAGATTTCAATAAGTCTAATCTGATAAAAATGAATCTACAAATATGTTCACCATGTTCATATATATATATATATATGAACAGCTGTAGTATTGTGAAATATTATAATTGGAAACTACTTTGATATACTTTAAACAGCCTGATCAGAATATCTTTTCAGTCACTTATGAGAAAATTAAGCCATTCTTGCTAAATAAAATGTTGAATTTCTTCCTAAAACATTGTACATATAAAAAATTCAAGGAAGTTGAGCAAATGGATATGTAAAATAGTGGTGATGATCATATTAAACTCAACTCACCAGTGTTGATTTAATTCCAACGCTTTCTGCTGCCTGGAAGGCTAAAGTGAAATTTCGCCTCTGCAAAAGACATCAATGAATGAACTGAAATTTGTAAACACTCTAAAAGACAGTTTAGTAATGACTGGTACTGAAAAACAAAATGTACACTACCTGACAAAAGTCTTTTAGGAATAACAAATAATAACTTGACTACTAGTTGATCATTTGACATCAGAAGTGGCTTATATGAAAGTCAAAGGCCTCTAGATTACGCTTATTTTACCAAAATACAATATAATCATGCCTTGATTTTTTATTATTTAATTAGGACACTAAGGTCTGACTTTGCTTACTCAAATGTCTTGTCACTTAACAGAAATAATGTACAGTAAAAAATATAAAGTCATGGTGCAGTGGAAAAAGAATTAATACTGTGTATGTCTCTCATGAGCTTGGAGGACTGCATCCATACATCTCTGCAATGACTCAAATCACTTATTAATAAAGTCATCTGGAATGGCAAAGAAAGCGTTCTTGCAGAACTCCCAGAGTACACCAAGATTCTTTGGATTCATCTTCAATGCCTCATTCATCTTACCCCAGACATGCTCAATAATGTTCATATCTGGTGACAGGGCTGGCCAATCCTGGAGCACCTTGACGTTCTTTGTTTTCAGGAACTTTGATGCGGAGGCTGAAGTATGAGAAGAAGTGCAAACCTGCTGAATAAACTTCCCTCTCCTGTGGTATGTAATGTAATGGGCAGCACAAATTTCTTGTTACCTCAGGCTGTTGGTGTTGCCATCAACTCTGCAGATCTCACGCACACCCCCATACTGAATGTAACCCCAAATTATGATTTTTTCATAAACAAACTTGACTGATTTCTGTGATAATCTTGGGTCCATGCAGATTCCAATAGGTCTTCTGCAGTTTTCGTGATGATTGGGATGCAGTTCAACAGATGATTCATCAGAAAAAAATCTACCTTCTGTCACTTTTTTTAAATGATCAACAAGAAGACAAGTTATTATTTGTTGCTCTTTCAAGTGTGATCGACAACAAGACCTTGGTCAGGTAGTGAGGTAGTGCTTTTTTAAAAACTACTTATTTAAAATGAGTGGAAACAACAAAATTCTTACATTTTGGGGAAATAACTTAATTGTTTTATGTTCGATCTGATTAAATTAGTAAATAATATTAAAGTAACATAATTGATTTGTGTTGGGACAGCATGAAAGAATTGTGTGGAACCCAGCATTTTTATTTTATGCTGACAATTTGCTCCTGTTGAACTAAATTAACCTAATGTGAGCGTACAGACCTTGTCCAGGCTGTTGAGCTCGTGATACGGGATGTGTGCAGGCAGGTAGGTGTGAAGGATGGCACAGAAAGCGAGCCCATCATTCCAGCTGCTGCTGAAGTTGGTGATGTCAATGTTCTGTGTGTGGAGGGGGAGAAAAAACAACAACAACAGATCAATAATTTTAGTAGACGAAGAGGTGATTGGCTGGGTGATTCAGAGGGAGCGATGAAGCATTGAATCTTTCTGTGTCCCTGAGATATTATGGCTGTAGTTAAAAGTGGCAGACCCCCCAAGTTATAAATCTTGACAGAAACAACATCCTTTTTCAGTGTTTACAGAAACGCTGACAAACACTGCTGTTCATATAATTAAGAAAGCCTCCCTTTCGGATTTGTACTGAATGAACAGTTTGTGTTTGTTTATTGTTTTATTTATTTTAATGGTGTTTAGTTTAGATCAATGAAAAGACCCTATTCATAATTTAGATCTTACAATCCTACCAGAACACCTAACTGGAGTGCAAACTCCATTGACCAATTTCTTTTTAAATATGGCAGGTTTGGTTCCATTAAAATGTAGTCATGCTGTGATTGCTCTGTTTGTAACCACAAAACAGAGACACTTTCTTATAAACACGTCAAGTGTCTGGAAAAAAATGGTGCAATACTTAGTGTGCTTTATGCAGGTGGTGAATGTGCTTGACAAACCACTTGTAGGAAACACCCTATCCTCTCAGTGTGTATGTGTGTGTGTGTGTGCATGTATAAAACAAACTGCTGAACTATCTTAGACTTGTCATGGCATTAATGTATTACTGATCTCTTAAAGTCTTTTTGCTCATCTAAAAGTCGCTTTGAAAAAAAAGACAAGCAGCTTTTAAATCAGGAAATCACAAAACTTCTTAAGTTGAATTTAGTACCTTTTTTAATACCTTCAAAAAAGTTTTTAATACCAGCATGACATAGAACTGCAACTGTAATGGCGTAAATAAATGTTTTTAATCCTTCCAAATGGAATAAAATATTGCAGATAACATTTACATTTAAGTAAAGCAGAGGGATGAAACAATAAACACCACTGCACCTCAGCTTGCAATGTAGCGGTGGTGATGGGGTATAGCATAGCGCCTGCAGCCTGACGCCTGTCACACATCTGTTGACGATGCTGCTATGACTACTGCTGGCAGTGGTTTGCCTTGGGAATTCGGGAGAGCAGTCAATTTTGAGGGCAAAGCAGTGGAGGTTGAGGTGCAGCCGTAGTGCAAAACATTGATATGGGAAGCTGCTCGCTGGGTACGTGCATCCAAGTTTGGTGGCTATTTGATTCCATATGCAATTTGATGCCATTCACCCCAATCCAAGTTTTATTAATCGTCTTCTTGCAGAAGTGGCAATAAGCCTTGCCGCTGTTGCCAACTACAGGCCTAAGCCAGTCTTTAAATCTTAAGTCCTCCAGCCAGAGGCCAGAAAACTTGCAATTTTAATTTAAATAATGAAAGGATAGTGAGCTCGTCTATATGGTTGGCTGCAAGCCAGCCGGGCACCCAGTTTGTTTCAGCATGTTCACGAATGAACACCACCTCACATGATATTGCTCAGGTCTTACTCTTAACATAAAAAAAAATCCACACAAATTTTAGAATACAGGCCTGCACTTAACATCAATTGAAAATGTATCTAAAAAAACTAGGGCTCGAATACCTCGTCAGATGATGTTTATTACTTTTTAATGCCCTCAATTTTGGCTAATTTCATTTACTACCTTTTACACCCCCATGGACACCCTGTAAATATATGAATGTACAATTTGAAATATTTGTGTGGTTCATTTAAATAAAAATAAAGAATGAATATTTGTGTGGTTCGTTTAAATAAGAATGAACACCGCTCTCTGAACTTTACTGTGCACCAAATAAGTGGACCAAGACTTCCAAACACACACTGGTCCAGATTGTGCTCCTACTTCAGCCAAACCATAATAAACAAATAGTTTCAAAGTGTGTCATAAAAACAGTTTTTAAATTTTTAGGTTCAGAACTTCAGCCCCAAATATACAATGTGTTCGCCAGGCAAGCCAAGTCTTGAAGTATTCTTTCTTTGTTTTATTCAAAATAACTGAACTACAAATGTGAAGACACTGACAGAATTCAGTTGTTTTTGTCCTGTTGACTACATTTGGGCAAATTCTCATTCTCAGAATATGAACACAATACCTTAATAACTAGTTTCCAAAGAGCGGTACGGTTTAGTTCAGTACATTACAGTTCAGAGTCGCAATTGACATTATTCTCTCTTATACCCCGTTTACACTAACACATTTTCATTTTAAAATGCCTTTTCAAAATGAAAACGATTCGCGTCCACACTGGCGTTTCAACCAGCGTTTCTGAACAAATCTCTGTTCACACATAATGGCCATAATTCATTATTAAATCTGATATTCAGCAAAAGAGAGGGTATGTTTTGCCCCATCAACATTAACACGTAGCAGCAGTGTTTTCAAACTAAAACAGCCTCTTCATCATTTTCAAAAAGCTCCGTTTTCAGCTCTCGAAAACTCCAGCGTAGTGTGGATGGTGTAACCGTAGCAAAACTTAAGTGTTTTCAAACTAAAGCGAATTAGTGTAAACAGGGCCTTAAAGAAAGCTGGTCATTATATGGCATTTTTTGCACACTCAAGGTCATTATTTTACATATAGACGAGCACAAGAATAGAGAAATGGGACATGTGAACATCTCGTAAACAACAATGAAGGACATACCACAGATACAGTTTTTGCATGTGTTTTTTTTTCACAAGAGAAGCACAAGCTAAGTTTGAGCCTGGTTTATTGCTGCAGACTGTCTTTGTATTATTACAGCACCGTGTTTTGGCTGTGTATTAATTTTTTTTTTTACTTCAAGCATTAATTGCTCCACTGTCTTTTGAGCATATCTCCACCTATTTAGTACCATAGCGTGGTGCTAAATACCCTTACGAAAGGGTCCCAAAAAGTTGGGTTAGTAACATTTACTTATATTGAGTTACGATTCCAAATTTAGGTTCTTTTGAAATTGGAAACGGAAATAAATGTACTCCCCATAGCTCAGCTGAAACTAGACATTAATTGCATGTTAATAAGAAACTATTGTAAAGAAAATGCTTAGCTTGGATTATTGCTTCATATTGTGAACATTAGCCTGAATATGCATTATCGCTGAGTTAAAACTAAAGGTAGCAATGTTGTGATATAATGTCTTCTCACTTTCCAGGTTGGTTAAGATATACTGTCTAAAGGGATTGCACTGTTAGCCAGCGGTGAAAAGAGTACTGAAAAATCATACTTAAGTTAAAGTACTATTACTTGCCTAAAAATGTAGTACAAGTAGAGTAAAAGAATCTGTTGTAAGTATGACTCAAAGTATGAGTAAAAAGTAGACCTTTCAAAAGTACTCAATAGTAGTGAGTATTACGCTGTGAAAAGCTGATGTATTTACATGTAATTTGTGGATGTGTTTAAAAGTAACATTCTGCAGTGCATTTAGTTATAGCCTAGCAGGCACACAACATCATAAGATATTTGGTTGATTTTAGGTTGTGTTACAAACTAACCAAAATCTAACGTCAAGTCAATATCTTAAACCAATGTCATATTGACGTCAAATACTGACATTTATTCATCAGGCAACCAAAATCCAACATCTAACAGACATCATAAAGGTAACATCCACACATGTTACAGCTTGATGTAGACGTTGATATTTGGTTGATTTTAGGATAGACTTTGGACATTGATGTCGGCTTGACCATGGGTTATGATGCACCCCAATTTTCATATCCAAACAAAATGCTACATCCCCACGACTTTGGGGTACAACCTCAATCACACGTCATGTTGATTTATTCTGCCTGCTGGGTGTGCAAGGCCATTTCGGTCATCAAACAGTACAAATCAGTTATTTTCTCATCAGTGACATGCATGTATACAGTCTCTGGGTCATTGCGTGTAAAGACTTTGGACATCTTGGACACTTTTGCTGCAGTTTGTTGCAATTATAATTATAAAGCGCCCTAAGGTAGTTCAGTATGTGATTTACCTTCCATGAGTGATTTGATTGGACAGAAATCACAGGACTAATTTTTCTAATCCCCAGAGACATGAAAATATAAAGTAGTGACTGCAGGTTGAAGGAAAGTAGTGTAGTAAAAGTACTGATACAGCACTAAAAATGTCCTCAAGGGAAAGTAAAAGTACACATTTTTAGAACTACTTAGTAAAGTTTGATTCCTGAGAAAAACTAGTTAATTACAGTAATTTAAGCATTTGTAGCTTGTTACTTTACACCACTGCTGTTAGTATAGTTCAATTGAATAAATGTGAAAACAGCCATCTGAAACCTTGTCCAAACCAAACAAATCCCACAGAAAACGTGACTCTTCTTGGTCCACTTTCAAAATAACTCTGGGGTGGTTTGACTCAAATACATCTAAACAGGATGTGGTGTAACAACGTTTGTTTTCCTTTATGAGAAATGATCTAAATATTTGTGGCTACAAACAAATGAAAAAGTGACAAGTCTGCACTGTTCTGTCACGAACAACACTTTAGGCCACTTGATACACCCAATATAAAGCACTAATTTCTGGCTTATAATAATGTCTAAGCTTAAACACATTTGTTTAAAGTAACCTCTCAATTACCTCTAAAACTTGACGACTGACAGACATTGCATTTAAATAGTTGTGAATCCAACAACACTGCCACCTAAGGTGAGAATTTGTAACTGCTGTTCTGAGAGCAGAGTTCACCTACTACTCGCATTCGCTTACTGACATTGTCGTGCTGGAGTGTTTGTTCAACAGCCCTGCTTATCTGCATCAACATACTTCACACATGCTTTAATCCATACACGGAAGAAGCCGTTCGCCTGACTGCGGGCCATTTATGGTTTTGTTGTGACCGAGAACAAAGGTTTGTGTTCATTAATGCCCTCATCATGTGCGCAATTAATGACCTCTTTCTTACAGCAGATCTATACAGTAGCTCTTACGTGTTTACATTTACTGCACTACTGTTACTAATGTTCAAACAAATTAGTGAGATTCTTTTCTTTTTGGGGGAAAACGGAGATCCAGAATGCATTTTATTGATCAAA